ACAGTTATTTTACCCTCCTTCTTCTGTGTTCGTATCTGTCCCTTTTCATCCTTCCCTATTATTCCCGTCTCTCTCACTCACCCACACCCCACAGTGGTCTCCTTTTACTTTTCTAGTTACTTCAGTCACTCCAGTTTGTGTACTCACGTCTGAAGATTTAGAGCTAGGAAATTTTCTATGAGAAAGAACATGCTATGTCTGTCTTTCTGGGTCTGGGTTACCTCATTCAATATATTCATTCCTACGTCCATTCTTTTAATTGCAAAGCTCATGATTTCAATTTTCTTTACAGCTGAATAGTATTCCATAGTGTATATGTACCACATTTCTATTATCCATTTGTCAGTCGAGGGACATTTAGGTTGTTTCCTTTTTGTAGCTGTTGTGAGTAGCGCACAGTGAACATGGCTGAGCAAGTTTCTGTGGAGTAAGACGTTGAGTCCTTTGGGCATATTCCAAGGAGTGGAACAGCTGGGCCATGTGCTAGATTTATTTGACTTGAGGGTTTATTTGTTTATTTAACTGAGGATTTTCCATATTGATTTCCAGAGTACCTAGATAGTTTGTTGTTAGGGTTTTTATTCCCTGTGATTTTGTTTTTTGGTGTTGTGACTGGTTGGGTTATTGGGGAGTATTTTTTTTTCCTTCAGTGTGAAAATTAGTGGTTTGCTATCTTGCCCATGGATGAATACTTCACATTTCTCCTGTATTTATCTATTCTTCATATGAAATTCATTATTTCCCATGTTCTCATGGATAATTCCTCCGATTCTCCTCTGTATATATTTCCTCAAATTTATTATGTGCTTGGTGCTTTTATGAAATGAATTGTCCAATATTAATTCATGACGATCTTCAAATGCACGTTTGTCTCCATCAATTTTAAGACAGTATTCTTCTGGGTGCAGCAATATGGTTCACAGTGATTTTTCTCCATAAATTTTAAATGTGGATGCATGCTATTTTGGCTTTGGGACCATTGACCAGACACCTGGTAGTATTCTGTTTCTTGGGATTTTCATGTGGTTTAACATTGTTATTTAAAAGCTTTCCTTACTAATTTTTGCTTTTTCTTTTTAATTCCTTTATATGAAAGGGCAGCAAGCCGTCTATTCAGCAAGCCATCTATTGTTCCTGAAAGAGAAACTCAAAGAACAGAAACAACAAGAAATGGCTGATTTTCCAGGATATACGTCCCAGGTCATTCGTCAAGTCAATTATTTTTCTGGAAATGTTATATTTTGAGACTTGAAAGCCTTTCATTTTCTGCTTCTGATACTTTTTTAACTTTATTATAAAAAAAAAAGTTGCAAATAATAAAAAATTCACATTCTGAAATTAACCAGACCCAGACTATACAACTCAATAGTTAGAGTAGTCATTGGGAACAGATGTTCTGGAGCCCCACATGGGATTTTATGTTTTCACTCTCGAATATACTTTGATGTAATTATCTACTACCCCAAACCAGAAGTGTGACGGAATTAGAACTAGAAAAGCAATTAGCTTTCTATCCTTTTTCATAACTGATGTTCATTATCTGCATTCAGTCCTGCCTCAAACCCTGATATGTAACCTTTCTTGTTCTCTTTCTCCATGTCTACTGTGCCCACGTGTATGTTGTTTCCATACACATATCATTGGCTAGATTCTGCATATGAGGGAAAAATGTGATTTTTTTTCTGACACTTTATGGCTTCATATTACACATTCTAAATCCACACATTTTCTTTCACATTTTTATTATAGTTTTCTCTTCAGCTGACTGTTATCCCATTTTCTTTTTCTTTTTTTTTAGGTTTATTTATTTATTATGTATGCCGTATTTTGTCTGCATGTGTCCTTGCAGGCCAGAAGATGGCACCAGATCTCATTACAGGTGGTTGTGAGCCACCATTTGGTTGCTGGGAATTGAACTCAGGACCTCTGGAAGATTAGTCAGTGCTCTTAACCGCTGAGCCATCTCTCAGGCCCCCAGTATCCCATTTTCATTATCCATTCATCTGTTGATGGGCAATTAGTTTGATTCCAGTACTTTGCTATGGTGAATGACAGCAGTAAACATGGGGTGTATTATCTCTGTAGTGGGCTGTGAAGTTTTGAGTGAAAGGGCTGGGGTCATTTTTAGTTCTAGCTTTAAGTTTTTAGTAATCTTCAAACTAATTTCCATTTGAGTTTATTAATATGCACCCCCCACCCCACACACACACATACACAACACAGCAGTTTATGAGGGTTCCTTTCTCTCCACATCCTCTCTAACATTTGTTGTCAGATCGGTTGATGACAGCCTTTCTCTGCCAGGGTAGTATTTCAAAGTACTTTTAGTTTACATTTCCATGATGGCATTTTAGGGACCTGAACACTTTCTGCAACATTTCTTGGCCATTTGTCTCTGTCTTTGAAAAGTCTCTATTCAGTTCATTTGCTCTTTTGTTGGTTTGTAGTTTTATGTCCTTGGACTTTAATTTCTGTAATTTTTGGTAAATTTTAGCTATGAGCCCATATCTAAAGTGTCACTGAAGTGTCAAAATGAGATTGTTTCTCATTTTGTGGGGTGTCTGTGTGCTCTGCTGATTGTTTCTGTTGATACACAGAAACTTTTTATTTTCATGTAGTCCTATCTCTCGATACTTGGGGTTCGTTCCTGTGCTGTTGGTATGTTTACAATTCAAAAAGTTCTTGCTCAACCGTGTCCTGTCGGCTCTTCCCTACATTCTCTTATGTTTCTCTGTTTCTGGTTTTCAGTCATGTTTTGATCCATTGTAACATAATATCTACAGGTATAGCATTTAAAATTACATTTCCTCATCACAGAGCTTCCTTCTGAGACATGCACACTCTTATCCTTCGTGACACAAACACAGCACCCATAGCAGATAGAGATAACCATGTCCAGACCTTAAATGTGTTTCTTGTTTTGTTTATACTGCTTGTGAGAATACTGTGTCATCCTGTTTTCACAGAGTTAGAACATTCATTATAGTTTGACTATGTTAGAAATCATTGTTTTGAATAATTATCTTTATCACCTACATCCCTAATCTCCTTAAATCTCCTTATATCCAAAAAGAACTGTATCTGGTCAAACTGCACTTTGTGTTTCAGGGTCTGTTGACATTCTGGGATGTGACTGTGGACTTCTCCCAGGAGGAGTGGGAATGCCTGGACTCTGCTCAGAGGGCTTTGTACATTGATGTGATGTTGGAGAATTACAACAACCTGGTCTCCGTGGGTGAGAACATTTGGCTTGTAGAATTCCTAACTCAGGCCTTGTGTGTACCTACTTCATAGGTTGTAAACTCTGTTAAACTGTCATGGAAATAAGAGGAGACTAGGGAGTTTGGTAATAGGAAAACTTTTTCATGGTCTCTGAAAAAGAAAAATAAACCCTTTGATTATTTTAAGTAAGCCTTTAATCTTAAAGGGAATTGGGTTTTCTGAACTTATTCTTCCTTTCTGTTCATTAGTAAATATAAAACTGAATCTGGGATTGCATTAAACTCTTCTCCATCAATTTTTGAGGAAAAAAATATATAAAAATGGGAACATTCTAAATATAATCAGTGACTGAGCTCCATCCCAAGGCTAATTACTGGTTCTTAAATCATTTGTTACATCTTCCTTGAAGGCTATTACTGCTTTTTGTAAGCATCCATATAATTATAGTGAGAAAAAAAAGGTCTAGTACTGGGAGCTCTATTCTAAACAGTTGCTAGTTCATCTATCTTAAGCGAGAACTTAGGGAGACAGTCATTTATCAAATGTTTAGTCTGGAATAAGCCCTATTAATCTGAACTGTATTCATTTTCAGAGAACTATTGGATGTGTGATTCTGTCCAGGAACACGTGAAGACTGAAAAGGAGTCTTGTCAGTGGAATGAACTTGGCAAAGTGCTTCATGACCCCTCCACATGTGCACTTTATGGAACAAGTCAAACTACAGAAAACTCTAATAACTACAGATGCAGTAATCACAGGGATGCCTCTATTGACTCATCAATCCCAGATACGCATGAAAGCATGCACACTGGAGATGAACCTTGCAAATCTAAAGACTGTGAGAAATCTTTACATTTGTGTTCCAACATGACTCAAGATCAGAGACTCTACACTGCAAAGAAAGAGCACAGGCAGGGAGAATATGATGACTATTTCAGCTCTGCACACAGTTTTATGCAACAAACAATCTATGTCGGAAAAAAACTGCACCAGTGTGAGGAATGTGGTAAATTCTTCAGCTCCCCCTCAAACCTCGCTATACATCAGAGAATTCATACTGGAGAGAAACCCTTCAAGTGCAATGTTTGTGACAAATCCTTTAACTGTTTCTCAAGTCTTGAAAGACATCAGAGAGTTCATACTGGAGAAAAGCCTTACAAATGTGAAGTATGTGACAAATCCTTTAACGTGATCTCAAATCTTAGAATACATCAGAAAACTCATACTGGGGAGAAACCATACAAATGTAGGGAATGTGACAAATCCTTTACCCAGAGCTCACATCTTAAAAGACATCAGAGAGTTCATACTGGAGAGAAACCTTACAGATGTAAAGAATGTAACAAATCTTTTTCTAAGTGCTCAACTCTTCAAGCACATCAGAAAATTCATACTAGAGAGAAAACTTACAGATGCAAAACCTGTGACATATCCTTTACCCAGTATTCAAATCTGAAAATACATCAAAGAATTCATCCTAAAGAGAGACCTTACTTCTGTAAGGAATGTGGCAAATTTTTTACTAGCAACTCATATCTTAAAGTACATCAGAAAATTCATACTGGAGAGAAACCTTACAAATGCAAAGACTGTGACAGATCCTTCACCCAGTGTTCAACTCTTAGAACACATTACAAAGTTCATACTCGAGAGAGACTGCATATGTAAGCAATGTGGCGAGTCTTTTACTAAGTGCTCAACTCTAAGAGCACATCAGAAAATTCATACTGAAGAGAAAAATACTGTAGTAAATAAAATGACATAACATTTATCTGGTGTTCTATGCTTATAAACCACAACAGTATACATAATAGAAACATAAAGATAAGAAACTTGTAAAAGCCTTTAAAGAAGTTTTAAATCTTAGCAAAGTATCACAGAGTTTATATTAAATTAAAATTCTGCAAACCTGTGTGAAAAGCTTTTTTTGTTTAAATTCCTAGGTGTTTTGACTGAATGTATGTCTGTACATTATATGTATGCTTCCTGCCTGTGGATGCCAAAAGAGGGTATCAGATACACTGAAGGTGGAATTATAGGCAGTTGTGAGCTTCTGTGTGTGTGTTGGCAATTGCAGCTCAGTTCTCGGGAAGAACAGCCAGTGCTCTTAACCACTAAGCCATCTCCAACCCCCTGGGAGAAGCTATAGTTAAAATATTTAGCTTGTTTAATATCCTAAATTTCATAATGCCAGGCATGGTGATTGTGGTGGTTTGAAAGAGAATGGCCACCAAAGGGAGTGGCACTATTAGGAGGTGTGACTTTGTTGGAGTAGGCTTGGTCTTGTTAGAGGAAGTGTGTCATTGTGGAGGCAGGCTTTGAAGTCTCATATATGCTCAAGATACCACCCAGTGTCTTGAGTCCACTTCCTGTTGCCTTTGGATCAAAATGTAAGGACCCTCAGCTCCAGCACTATGTCTGCCTGCATGCTGCTTTGCTTCCCACCATGACTAAACCTCTGAACTATAAGACATTCCTATTAAATATTTTCCTTTGTAGGAGTTGAATGGCCATGGAGTCTCTTAAGAGCAATAGAAGCCTGAACTAAGACTAAAGTTGGTACCAGGGACTGTGGTATTGGTGGGATAGGCCTGACGTGCTTTTGTTAGAAGGAATCTGGACCTTCGGACTGTGGATTAGAAAAGCAGTTATCCGCTTTAAGTTGTGATTGATGGGGCATTCTTGTAGGACCATGGAAGACAGTGATACTGAGTGATTTGAACTTTGAGTACCTGGAACAAGAGGATTGGGTGAAGAACATTGGTATATAGCCTGGACATCGTTCTTGTGATATTTTGGTGAAGAATTGTTACTTTTTGCCCTTGTCCAAAGGTTCTGCCTGAGGATAAAGGGAAGAGTTTTGGATTAATTCTGTCGGCAGAGGAAATCTCAAAACAGCCCAGTATATAGCTCTGTCATGTGGTTATTAGTGATAACTGTAATGAATATTTATAATGAAAAAGAATAAGCTGAGCAAGGAAAAAAATATACAATGTAGAACAATTTGAGGAGAAAAGGAATACCAGGAATGGAGTTCAGTGTAATGGAGTTAAGCTCTGTGTTGAAGGGAATAAGCAGATTAAGAAATGGAACAAAGGGAGTGGTGACCTCAGGGCAAGATCCCACCCAAAAAAATTTCCAACTTGTGTAAAGGAATTAAAGCTTGAGTGGTGATGTGGTGATTCATGCCTTGAATCCCAGTACTGGGAAGGCAGAAGCAGGCAGATCTCTGAGTTTGAGGCCAGCCTGCTCTAAGTAGCAAGTTCCAGAATAGCCAGCCTTAGGCAGTTAAGGAAGCTATTGAAAACAGAAAGCTGGTGAAGATGTAATTTAAAGAAGGGTCCATGCTCCAGCTCCAGTAAGCAAGAGAACGTGGCAGCTTTGGCCTCATAATTCTGGCTTCAAGGATAGAAAGGTGTGGAATCTTCCTTCTCAAGTGAGAAAACCCACTGAGGCCAGGCATGTTTCAAGGGCGTGCCTAGATGGAGGCCCAGAGAGGTCATTGTGTGAAGCTGCAAAGGAGAAGCCTGGATTGCTTTGGAGACCCCAAGATGTTAGAGATGCCAGAGCCATCTGATATCTGATGAGGAAAGTTGGTGACAGGGAGTGAAACCAGCACAAGAGAAGTGTGTTGCAGTCAACAAAACTGAAGGGAGTTACAGCTCTGAATGGCCTTTTCACATCAGACATAGAAATGCAGTTTGGAGTTTATCCAGCTGGTTTTTGGTCATGCTTTGGTCCAGTATTTCCTCATCATGCTCCCTTCCCTGCATTTTGGAGTGGTAATGCATATCCTGTGTCATTATATGTTGGAAGTATGTGATCTGTTTTTTGATTTTATAGGGGATTATAGTTAAAGAGATTGCATGACTCCCAGAAGAGACTGTGAACTTCGGACTTTTAAACATTGTTGAAACTGTTATGGACTGTGGGGTCTTTTGAAGTTGGACTGAATGCATTTTTGCATTATGATATAGCTACAAATCTTTGGGAGCCAGGGAATGGAATGTGGTGGTTTGAAAGAAAATAGCCCCCAAAGTGAGTGGGACTGTTAGGAGGTGTGGCCTTGTTAGAGGAAGGGTGTCACTGTGGAGGTGGGCTTTGAGGTTTCGTGCAAGCCATGGCAAGTGAGATCATTCACTTTCTGTTGCCTTTGGATTGTTAAAGATGGCTGACTCCATTTTCTTTTTAATTGAACAATATTAGATTTTGATCATGTCCTTGACTAGAGGCTAACTTTTTTGAGTGGTTTTTCCTCAATAACATTGTGAATTACACATCATAAATTGTATCCATTGTTCTGAGAATTGACTGACCATTTTGTGGTTTGTTAACTCTTTGACCATAAACCCATAACATGTACCTTTCCCGTGATCATAAAAACAACTGCAAAATTCCACTCTTAATCACTTGCTTGCTTGGTATAAAAAGATTACTCTGCCTTTAAGTTGGGCTGTTTTCATTCTCCTACTATGGGAGACTGAAAATATGACCCCAGCCATTAACACATTTTTGCCTTGCAATATCTTGGTGTTAGCTTATGGCTTTTGACACTAAAACAGGATCAAGATGTAAAGACTCTCACCTCTAATACCATGTCTGCCTGGCTGCCTTGCTTCCCACCATGATGATACTGGACTAAACCTCTGAACTGTAAGCGAACCGCTCCAATTAAATATGGTGCTCACCTTTAACCACCACTTATGACATAGAAGCAGGAGAAGCTCTGTGAGTTTGAGGCCAGACTGATCCATATAGTAAGTTTCAGGACAGGCAGGACTACATAAACCCTGTCCAAAAAGAAAAAATATATATAAAGACAAAATATAGTGCCAAAAAAGTAATAAAGCATTTAATTTTCCCTCTAATTTTGCTGTACATCACAAAGTTTATGCTTTTGAGAAACCATATAAATGTATACCATATATAATCACCATGTCTTGCTATTCATCAGAAGTTCCAACTTCCAAATGCATGCAACTTGACAAATCCTTTACCTAATGCTGACCTTGTAGACATAAAAGAAAATTCATCATGAAAGAAAACACAAAATGCTTCAATAAATTCTCATCTGTTACTCACCTTTAAAATCTTCAAACTATACACACATCAACTTAAACCATACAAATATCAAGATGAGAAACTAGAGTTAAACTGAATGTGACAACATGTGCATGCACATCTATAGCTTATAAATGACCAAGGTCAGGGCTGGAGAGATGGCTCAGTGGTTAAGAGCACTGGTTGATCTTCCATAGGACCCTGGTTTGATTCACATCACTTACATGGCAGGTCTCTACTGTCGGTGACTCTAGGACCAGGGGATCTAGTGCCTTCTGGAGTCTGCAGATACTGCATAGACACATGGAAGCAAAACACCCTACACATAAAATTAATTAATTTTAAAAAATCCAAAAGATCAATGGCAAGGCATAGTAGCACATGCCTTTAATCCCTACATCTGGAAGTAGAAGTTGGGTCTCTAAATTCAAGGCCAGACTGGTTTACAAAGCAAATACCAAGACAATCCGGGTTATACAAAGAAACCCTGTCTAGGAAAAAAAAAATCCCTGAAGGTATGCAAGAATTCATTTTGCTGTAGAAAGTACTGTAGAAAAATGGAGAAGTATCTACTCCAAACTCTAAAATAATATACCTGCCTGTAACTGCCAGTAGACCTTCACTAAGGGATAGGAGACTCCTGGGACCCTCCCTCAACCATGATGAAATGGTAATTGTCCCAATCTTCCACAATTGTTTGTTCTCAGTACTTTTTGAACAGCTATTTCAATCTGGATTACTCACGACCAACTGTAAGAGGAGACTTCTTTCACCAAGGTTGAGAGTAGTGCAATGAATACTTAGATGGCAAATTAACAAACATGATCATTAAAACATCAGTAGGTTCTGCTCTTGGGCCTGTGACTCCCATGCCATGGTTTTTGACCATGTTTACTATACCAGGCAAGAATTCCCTTCTCTGCAGCTGGTGTCAATCCTATCAAGAGACAGGTTAGTTATGCCAGTATTGCACCAGTACACACATCTTGACTAGTAGGTTGCCACATAGAAAGCGGGTTACAGTGGTAAGACCATTGACATCCTTTCCCTACCAGGAGTCCACACAGAAACTTAGAGTGCTACAATACCTAGCCAGCAGAGAGAGTTCCCTGGTAAGTTCAAGATTGCTCTCTATCTTGCAGCCAAAGTGGTGTCTTCAGCAACACCATGTACTTACAGCAAGAGTACTAGCAATGACCTGTTTTGTTTGGGGTGACAATGGGGCGTCCCTGACCAGTAAGTCCTAGGCAGATAACCAGTACCTGGTACAGAGAGTTTCATTTAACATCCCTACTGTCTGGGAGCAGCATTATTTACCCATGTGGGAACCTCTGTTCAAAGTTTTAAAATCATATTTACCTAAATTACAATTAACTTGTAAGACAGATTTTATGAGGCTTCTTCATATATCCTTACTGTTGATCAACCCACCCACTCTTCCTCCTTTCTTCTTGCCCCCATCCCTAATGAAACATTTAGCACGTATTATCCAATGCCCCATTCTTTTGTAGCACATGTGTTCTATCACCATTATATTTTTTTACTTGGGTTGCAAAATGATAGGTTCCCATGTACCTTCTTCATGGACATCTCATTTGAGATGACCTTTCAGCAGCCTCTTGTCTTCCCCACCACTACAGTACATATTTGAACCATTCTGACCCCAGAATAGCCACTCTCTAATTTCATATCACCTAGATTCTACTATCATCCCTCTCTTTCAGCATCTCTGCATAACTGTGCATTTCTAGTTTCCTGGCTTCTACATGTATTCCCTAACACAAAACAAAAAGTCTGAAGCTCTAACATACATTTTTGTTTAACCATGTGTCAGTTGATGGACATCTAGGGTGATTCCATTTCCTAGATGCTGTCAATAAAGTAGCAACGAACATGATAGGCAAATGCTCATTGGTAATATGGCAAGTCTTTGGAGTTCATGCCCAGGAATGGTTACTGTGTATCTGAGATTAAACTTTTTGTCTTGTAAGATGCTCCTTAAAACAGGTTATCAAAAGTAAGGTAAAGGAACAGGATGCTCTAATGGGAGGTGATACATTCAGTACTGCACAGAAACTCCCAAACTCAGAAATAGACAACTTAATAGCTTTGGGAAGTTGCAGAAACTGGCGAGATTCACTAGTGCCCTCTTGCCTCAAGCATATATATTCACTAAGAACTGCTGACACTGTCAGACAAGCTGAGATGCACAGAAGATGCTCAGAGCAGCCACGAAGTAGACACCAGTCGAGCTGCCTGGAGGAGGTAGTGAGTGGCTTGAAAGACACTTCCAACCTCCCTTGAGCTGCCTGCAGGCTGTGCAGTGATTCTCAGGTTCCCAGCTTCATTAGCCATCACCCTCACAGAGTGATCCAGCTGTCACTGAGTCCTTTGTGCTACTATAAATAAACCATCACCCACACTCTTGTAAGTCAACCCAATAAACCTCACTGGTCGACTTGACTTTAGAGATGACTCAGTGGTTAATAAGGTACTAAATGGAAAACTACAATCCAATGAGGTTAACTACACCAATGGAAACACAGGGAATAAATAATCTCACACCAGCAAAACCAAAAGAAAGGAAGCATGTGTGCGTGCGCACACAAACACATACACACACACTACCACCACCACCACCAAAATAACAGGAATTAATAATTATTGGTCATTAATACCTCTCAATGTCAATGGACTCAATCCCCCCCCCAAAATCACATAGGCTAATAGAATGGATGTGAAAACAGAATCCATTCTTCTGCTACATACAAGAAACACACATTGAAGATAGACATTACCTCAGAGTAAAGAGTTGGAAAAATATTTTCTAAGCAAATGGACCCAAGAAGCAAGCTGGTGTAGTTATTCTAATATCTAAAAAGACTTCAAATAAATTCATCAAAAGAGATGCGGAAGGACACTTCATACTCCTTATAGAAAAAATCCACCCAGATGATGTCTCAATTCTGAACATCTATACCCCAAATGCAAGGGCACCCATATTTGTAAAAGAAACTTTACTAAAGTTTAAATCATACATTGAAATATATACATTAATAGTGGGAGGCTTCAATACCATACTCTTACCAATGGACAGGTCTTCCAGACAAAAACTGAAAACAGAAATAATCGAGCAAACAGGCATTATGAATCAAATGAATCAAACAGATATGTACAAAAAAATTTCACCGAAACACAAAAGAATATACTTTCTTCTCAGCATCTCATGGAACTTGCTCCAAAACTAACCACATACTCAGTCACAAAGCAAGTCTCAATAGATTTAAAAAAATTAAAATAACCCCTGTATCTTATCAGACTACCATGAACTAAAGCTGAATTTCAACAACAGAAAGCCTGCAAACTCATGGAAATCAAACAAAATTAGAGAACCTAAAAAAAAAGGGCAATTTTCTCAATAGATATGATCATTTGCTGAAGTTAAACAAAGATCAGATAGATAAACTCAATTCCATTGATCAATCTGTCTATTTTTATGCAAATACCATGAGGTTTTTATTACTATAGCTTTGTAATTTAGTTCGACATAGGAATGGTCCAGCAGTTCATTTATTATACATGTATAACACCAAATGAAATAGAAGCAGTCATTAAAAGTCTCCCAACTAAAATATATATGACAAATGGACAGAGAAAGAAACCAGGGAAACAACACCCTCCACAAGAGCCACCAATAATGTATCTTGGGGCAACTCTGACTAAGTGAGTGAAAGACTTGTCTGTCAAGAACTTCAAGTCTTTGAAGAAAGAAATTGAGAAAGATAGCAGAAGATGAAACTATCTCCCGTGCTCAGGGATCAGCAGGATTAACACAGTAAAAATGACAGTCTTACCAAAAGCAATCTACAGATTCAACACAGACCACATTAAAATACCAACAGAATTCTTGAAAGACCTTGAGAGAACAGTACACAACTTCCATGTGGACAGAAAAATGTAGGATAGCTAAAACAGCCCTGTATAATAAACGAAATGCTGGAGGTATCACCATTTGTTATGTCAAGCTATATCACAGAGCTATAGTAATAAAAACCTCATGGTATTTGCGTAAAAACAGACAGATTGATCAATGGAATCAAATCAAAGACCCAGTCGTAAATGCACACACATATGGACACCTGATTTTTGATAAAGAAGTGAAAAATATTCAATGGGGAAAAAAGCATCTTCAACAATAGTCTAACTGGATGTCAATATGTAGAAGAATACAAACAGATCCATATCTATCACCCTGCACAAAACTCAAGTCCAAGTAGATGAAAAACCTAAGCATAAAACCAGATACACTAAACCTGATAGAACAAAAAATAGAACAAAAATGTCTTGCACACATTGGCACAGGAGATAACTGCCTAAACAGAACACTGATAGCACAGACACTAAGATTAACAATTAATAAAGGGGACCTCATGAAATTGAAAAGCTTCTCTCAGGCAGAGGACACTGTCAATAGGACAAAAATGGGAGTGCATAGAATGGGAATTGATTTTGACCAATTCCACATCTGACAGATGGCTAATATCCAAAATATATAGAGAACTCACAAAAGTAGACATCAACAAACCAAATGATCCAACCAAAAATGGGATACTGATTTAAACAAAGAATTCTCAACAGAGGAATCTCAAATGGCTGAGAAACTATTAAAGAAATGTTCACTATCCTTATCAATCGGAGAAATGCAAATCAAAACGACTCTGAGTTTTCATCTTACACCTGTCAAAATGGCTAAGATCAAAAACACAAGTGACAGTTCATTCTGGTGAAGAAGGCGAACATTCTTCTATTGCTTGTGGGAGTGAAGCCTTGTATAGCAATTTTGGAAATCAATGTGGTGGTTCCTTAGAAAATTGAGAATCACTCTACCTCAAGACCCGGCTAGACCACTCCTGGGCATACACCCAAAGGATGCTCCATCCTACCACAAGAGCACTTGCTCAACTACGTGCATAGTAGCTTCATTTGTAATACCCAGAAACTGGAAACAACCTACATGTCCCTTAACATTTCATGTTCCAACATTACTCAAGAAAAGAAATTCCACACTGCAAAGAAAGAGCACAGACAGGGAGAATATGATGTCCATTTTTGGCTCTCCATACAGGATTATGTTTGGGGTGCCTTTGGGTCCTCCCTGACCAGTAAGTCCTAGGCAGAGACATAGACAGGAACGTGTAACTGACGTTTCCAGAGCTTGGACCACATACCTTACTTATTTTCTGCATCTGGGACAGCAAAAGTCTCTGCATTCACCATTGCATTAAAAAAAAAATCTATATTTTATCTTAAAAGCACCTTTAGCATGAGTTACAAAAGAAAAACGTGTTTCTGAGTTAGTAAAATGACAAGGCCAACATCTAGTGGTGAGAACAGCGCGGGATGAACTCATGTTAGCCATGGGCGGACCACTGACTTCTGGAGACACCGGTTCCCTTCCAAATCCAAGTTGCTGAAATGTCCCTCCCCAAGTCACAGTTGCGGTATTTGGTTTTGGTTGTTATGTTGTGTTAGCGATGGGTCCCTGGCTTCTGAATTTAGTCTGTTATAGTTTGGTGTAAGTTGTAGCCTGGGAGGCTGGTAGTCAAGTCGAGGTTAGGCGGCCTGTCTTTCATCTGAAGGGTTCAGACTCACTGTAGGGATCAGACATCGGGGTGCAACGTCCTCCTAGATCCAGTTCTGGTCTAGGCTGGCAGCGAGCATGTGGGGAGGTTGCGCAGAGCGGGTCCAGGGCAGCCTGATGGTTGGAGCTGTGTGGAAGGCGGCCTGAGACCGAGTGGGAGGGACGGGTCCCCGATGGGGCGGGGCCGCTCACCCGGAAACAGATTGGGAAGGTGTTGGACTTCAGGTAGGTATAGGGGAAGCTTGGAGAATAGGAGGGGTTAGAGGAGGGGTTAGAAATGCTAAGGGAAGCTAAGAAAGACACCGGATGAGTGAGGACAGGGAAGCCGAACGGAGAAACCAAACTCAGAAGTGCCAAGTACCGGTTACCTGTTGTTGCTCCGGGGCTTGCAGCGTGGGGAACCACGTGGTGCAGACCTGGGTGCTGAGGACCCCGCTGGAATCTCACGGGGACCTGAAACCTCCCCGGAGCCGCAGTCGCCGCGCGGGGCGGCCTGGGAAAGTCACCAGTCAGCAGCGCAGTGGCGGGAACCGCAGCCCGGCGGCCCTGGAACCTCCCAGGTCAGAGGAGCTGCGGGGCTGGGACACGGGAGGGGAGGGACCGGGGGTGCGAGCAGTTTCTCTGCTGTTCATAAGGAAGCCGGCTCCGAAATTCTGCTGTGGATGTCTTTCCCTTGTGGATAAATTTTAGACCATATGAACTGGACCAATCTTTTTTTTTTCCCATTTATCTTCTGATTGCCAAAATGTTCTTATAAAAATACTCTTGTAGAATATTTGAATTTATTTGTTGATATTTACAGACAGTTTTCTTTGCTGTGATGGAAACGACAAAGCTCTTCACATTTACAGCCATCCACGCGAACTTCCGTGTTATATCACTTCCCTATTCAAGGGAGTGTCACATGGAACTGAGGACTTGGCATTCCTGGACAGCTTTTAGGTATTAGTCTTGAAAGGAACGCCCTCAATACTAACTGAATCCGAAAGTAAATGTATATATAGTAAGTCCCACAGGTTTTAAACATAAACATTTACAAGTAAACCTTTTATCCACCATTAGTTTTTCATCATATGCACTCTGTGATGTAAATACAGCATTCTGAAAAGTGTCTTTGACAAGCTTGGTGGCACAGGCCTTTAATCCCAACACTGGGGAGGCAAAGGCAGGTGGATCTCAGTGAGTTGGAGGTCAGCTTGATCTACATAGTGAGCTCCAGGACAGCCAGAGCCATATAGTGAGACCTTGTCTCAAAAATCCATAAAATAAATACAAAAACAACAGGTAAGGAAAGAAAAGAAAAACAAGAAAAAGAAAAAAGAAATGTGTTTTCTTGTGCTAAGTTCTTAATGTTGGGATTTAGAGCCTGGAAAGTCACAATATGGTGTTTGGTCACAGTGTTTTCATGACTAGAAAAGGCATAAGAAGCCAAGGGGCAGTGGTGGTACATGCTTTAAACCCCAGCATTGTGGAGGCAGAGGCCGAGGGATCTGGGAGTTCCTTGACAGCCTGATCGACAGAGTGAGTTTAAGGAGAGTCAGGGCTACACAGAGGAACTCTGTTATTGTACCCTCCTTCTTCTGTTCATGTCTGTCCCTTCTGCATAGTTAAATCCTCACCCCTGTTTTCCCATTTCCCCCTTCAGATCACTTGTTCCCTGTTACTCCATCTCTATTACTCCCCCACACCCCACAGTGATCTCTTCTTACTTTTCTGGTTACTGCAGTCACTCCAGGTTGTGTACTCACATCTGAAGATTTAGAACTGCGTATGCAAGAGAACATGCTATGTCTCTTTCTGGGTCTGGGTTACCTCACTCAAATGATCTTTTCTAGGTCCATCCATTTACCTGCAAAGCTCATGATTTCAATTTTCTTTACAGCTGAATAGTATTCCATAATGCATATTTACCACACTTTCACTACCCAGTTGTCAGTGGAAGGACATTTAGGTTGTTTCCATTTTGTAGCTATTGTGAGTAGAGCAGCAATGAACATGCCTGAGCAAGTGTCTGTGGAGTAGGATGTTGAGTCCTTTGAGCTTATACCAAGGAATGGAACAGCTAGATCATGTGCTAGATTTATTTAACTTGAGGAAGTATTTAATAAAGGATTCTCTGTATGATTTCCAGAGTGGCTAGAATTTTTGTTGATATGATTTTTACTCCCTATTTTATTTTTTATGTTTTTGCTGGTTGAATTATTGAGAATAATTTTCTTTCTTTCTTTTTCTAAGTGCCATTAGCCATGTGCCAAATCCACAGACTTTTAAAGGCTTTTATTATTGAATCACATGCAGATTCTGCTTAGCACAGGTTTTGTGGCTTTTCTTTCTTTCTTATTTAATTTTATGTGCGTTGGTATGAGGTGGTCGGATCCCCTGGAACTGGAGTCACAGACAGTTGCGAGCTGCCATGTAGGTACTGGGAGTTGAACCCAGGTCCTCTGGAAGAGCAGCCGGTGTGCTCTTGACTGCTGATCCATCTCTCTAGCCCCTGTAATTTTCTTTCGTCTGAGAAATAGTGGTTTGCTGTCTTGCCCATAGATGATTACTCCAGGTCTCCTGTATTTCTCTATTCTTCACATGATATTTATTATTTCCCATGTTCTCATGGATGATTCTCTGACTCTCCTGTGTATGTTTTGCCTCTGATTTATTATCTGCAGTGCTACTTTAGTGAAATCAATTAATTGGTGACTATCTTAAATGCACTTATGTCCCCATCAGTTTTAAGAGAGTAGTTTTCTTTGTGCAATAAGAAATGGTGATTTTCTCTTCAAGCTTCAAGACTTTGGGATCATTGGCCAGACACCTGGTAGAACTCTGTTGCTTGCTTGGGTCTTTCATGTGGTTTGACACTGTTCTCTAACAGCTTTCAGTGTTAATTTTTGCTTTTTCTTTTTGACTCCTTAATATGAAAGGGCAGCAAGTCACCTATTTATTGTTACTGAAAGAGAAACTTAAAGAAGAAAAAGAGAAAGAAATGGCTGATTCTCCAGTTCATCGATCCCAGGTCAGTGGTCATGTCCCCCTTTTTTTTCTAGAAATGTTATAGTTTGAGACATTGGAAGTCTTTAATTTTCTGCTCTTGATAATTTTTAACTATATTATAAAAAATATTACAAATGAACAAACAAAATTACACACTGCAGTTTACCAGACCCAAAGACTATACAACTCATTGTACTTTTATACAGTTAGTCATAGGGAACAGAAACTCTGGAGCCTTGCATGAGATTTGATAGTGTCAATATCCAGTATATTTTGATCTATTTATCTACCATCAAAAACCAAAAAACTTGTGACAGAATTAGAACTAGAAAAGCAATTAGCTTTACATCCTTTTTCATAGCTGGTGTTCATTGCCTGCATTGAGTCTACCTCAACCCTGATATTTAATGTTTCTTGTTCTCTTTTCTCTATGTTTTACTGTGCCCACACATATATTGTTTCCAAAAACATATATTATAGGCTAGATTCTGCATATGAGGGAAAGAAAGGGTTTCTTCCTTCTGATACTTTTTGACCTCACTTAATATTACATATTCTAAGTCCAACCATTCTTCTGCAAATTTTTATTATACTTGTCTCTTCAACTGAATAGTATTCCATTATATATGTATATCATTATCATTATCCATTCATCTATTGATAGACAATCAGATTGGTGCCAATTCTTTGCTTTGGTGAATAGGCAGCAATAAATATGGGGTGTAAATATCTCTGTATTGGGGTGTGGAGTTCCCAGTATATGCCCAATAGTGAAAAGGCTGTTCATACATTAATTCTATCTTTAATTTTTAATTTTTATTTATTTATTTATTGTTGGTTTCTCAGGACAAGGTTTCTCTGTGTAACTGTCCTGACTGTCCTGGAAATCACTTTGTAGACCAGGATGGCCTTGAACTCACAGAAATCCCCTTCCTTGCCTCTGCCTACTGAGTACTGGATCCCAAACTTGATTTCCACAATGGCTGTATTAATTTGCACCATCATGCACACTTACACCCCAACAGTGAACAATGGTATCTTTCTCTCCACATCCTCTCTAACATTTGTTATCAGATTGGTTGATGGCAGCCATTCACTGGGTTAAGGCAGTGTTTCAAAGTAGTTTTCGTTTGCATTTCCATGGTGACATTTTAGGGATCACAAAAATTTTTTTTGCAAAAATTTATCAGCCATTTTTGTTTCTGTCTTTGCAAAGTGTCTGTTCAGCTCATTTGCCCATTTGTTGATTGGCAGTTTTAGTTCCTTGAAATTTAATTTCTATAATTCTTGGTAAATTCTAGCTATGAGCCCTTGTCCAAAGTGTCGCTAGTACAGATTCTCTCCCATTCTGTGGGGTGTCTGTATGTTCTGCTGACTGTTTCTGTTGATGTACAGAAACTCTTTATTTTCATGTAGTTCCATGTGTTGATACTTGGGTTAGTTCCTGTAGTGTTGGTGTTCTTTCTAATCAATAAGTGCTTGCCCATTCCAATATCCTTATGAGTTTTCCAACTTTCTGTTTTTTCTGGTTTTAAACAAGGTTTTTGATCCATTTTGAATGGATTTCTGTACAAGGTGAAAGATAATCTAATTTCATTTTCCTGCCAGATCCAGTTTTTCCCGCACCATTTGGTGAAAAGACCATATTTTTCTAGCTTCTGTTTTCTTCTTTGTCAAATATTAAGAGGGCATAGCTTCCTGGTTTTCTTTCTGGGTCCTCTATCCCATTCTGTTATCCTGTCTGTTATTATGACCATACCAGACTATCTTTATGACTACAGCTATATAATATATTTCCATAATTCCACATCTCCTATGATGCTGTTCTCAATTCTGCTCTCTACATATTTTTTTAGGGCAAATATCCTACATGAACTTTTGATCTGTAATTTTGAAAATATTTCCACTATGACACATGAACTGTTGTGCCCAGATTGCGACCCCCAGAGAGACCACCAAAGATGAGCATGCTGGAATGCAAAAGCAAGGTTTAATTCTGGATATCCAAAACCAAAACAAGCCTAGGCAGGGACTTCGTCCAGCAGATCCAACGCAGTGGAGGCTGGAGGAAGTGTCTAACTCTTTGCAAGCTCAGTTTTTAAAGACAAAAACCACAAGGTTACATCATTTGGGGGTGCTAGTTTGGTACAATTCTGATTGGCTCATTTCTAGGGACTTTCTAGAAATCATGGCTTAATCTTACTTCTAAGGGGGTGGTGGCCTGCCACCATTTCTCATTGGCTGCCCTCAGGTGGGGACACTTTTATGTCAGTTACCCTGGAAACCAGGGTTGGAACATTCTTTGGTCAAACAGTTGCCTAGGGAACCAGGGAGAGGACATTCCATAGTCCGGCAGTCATTAACTCGTTACTACCTTGTGACTCTGTACTTTTACACTTCCTGGTTTCTGGAATCTGGACTGACTGGTTTCAGTAACTCATGGCCTATTCCAGTAACTCATGGCCTGTACCTAAAAGGAGAAATCTTAGGCCTTAGTTTTAGGGTGAAAGCATTTTGGCCTTATTTCTAAGATGGCTCATTTTGGTCTCACAGAACAACAACAACAAA